CTAATCATTTGTAGTCTCAACATCCTTTTTGCCAGCTGTCCAGTATCTACATAAATGGTACTTGAATTACTTGTCCAATTTCCAAGTTATTTAATGTGACAGAGGAACTTCACTATGGGCTTCTCTTTCAAAAGAAAAAGGACATGTGGTGCTGGGGTACAAACCTACCCAGCAGTATTATTTTGCATTAAGACCAGTTGCCTAAGTTTTCAAACTGTACTGGTCTTTTCAAGTACAAGATTGCAGATTCAAAAATTTGAAATTTGAGAGTCCTGAAATCTCAGCAAAATGAGATAAGGAGCAGCACTTCTTCCACTCTTTCATTTTAATCTTTTGCTCCTTTCCAGAAGTGGATTATTGTAGGAAGGCCAGAACTCACATATTTATTATAGAACTTGCTGGTAATACTTGTTAAAATTGCCTCTTTTCATGGCCAGATTTTTTGTTGATTGCAGAGGCTTTTAATGGTAAATATTTGGAACTAAATCTTAACGTCTGTCCAGCTAATAACTTTTAGAAAATAGTAGGGGAAATAGTTCTGCTGCTTCAACAAATTAAGAGAGCACACAGAAAAAAATCCCCATTATTTTGTTGTTATTAAAATTTCAAGAAAATGTTCTGCAACATGACCTTGATGCAATTTGTGTATCTTTAGGGCAGACACTTCCTGTAATATAGCACAAGGGGAAGGAAGGAAGGAACTTATTTTCTGCAGATGAGGTAGCCAGAAATTTTTTCAGCAACAAGATTACCACAGTCTATCAATTTCTACATTCAAGGCCAGGATCTCACTGACTTGTACTGCAGGCATATTTAAAACACAGAAAATCAGATCAGCAATGTTGCAGTGAACATCAGGACAAGCTATCAATGATTGTCCATGAAAAACTTCTGTGAAATGTTTTGCCTAACTTAATCTGTGAATTTAAGTCAGTCATACATGTGATACTTTTTAAATTTCACTTTTTTATTTCTGCAACATTTGAATTTTTTGAAGTAAGTTACCAGTGGCTAATACTGTCAAGTAGAAATTTCCTAAACTTCTTTACCTACATTTTGTTGACTGTATTTCTTATTTTCTTTAATTTGGAAATTTTTTTTTGGAAATTCAAATACATGCAAAATAATCTGGGCTATTTCTGAAACATAAGGCATTGTTGATCACTAACATTGGTACAGGCAAGAACTGACTTGTTGAACAGCAGCATTGCTGAAAATAATGGGGAGATGAACACGAGACTGAATTATGAGCTAACAGCATACTCTGACTGGAATAAAATAAACCACATATTGGACTATATCATTAAAACTGCTCATTGCAGATCAGGGGAGATATTTTTGCTTCTTTGCTTGGTGGTGCTGCACTGTGTCATGTTTGGGGGAGTCCTCCACTCTCACTTCCACAAGTGATGTGGAACCAGAGAGGGTCCAACAGGGAATTAGTTTATGTTCAGGGGCCTAGAAAACAAGATATATCTGAGGAGAGTTTCAAGGAGAAAAAATTTTTGTGTCTGAAAAAGAGGAAGCCAAAGAATGATAGAAACTGTCCTATAAATCAGAGAACTCCAGCTGGTTAATCTTCAAGGACAGCTTCCTAAAACCCCAAGAACACTCCATGCTGTTATGCAGGGAGTTGAGTATGGCAGAAGGCCAGCATGGATGAACAAGATGCTTCTGACTGACCTCAGACAGAAAAGAAAGTAAACACTGGAAACACGGGTGAGCTACTCAGTAGGAACATAGAAACACTGCCAGAGCATGTGGTGATGGAGTTAGGAAACCAGAAACTCATCTGGAATTGAAACAAGTAAGAGAGTTTTAAGGGCAGCATGAAGGGCTTCTGTTAAGTGCATCCATAGCAAAAACAAAGCTGAAGAAAACATTGACCTGCTGCTTCATGGGGTGGGGGATGTGGAAAAGGCTGCGAATATCCAATTTTTTTCACCTTGTTTTTCCCCTAATAAGTTTTGCCTTCAGGCCTCCCGGTTTATTTAAGCATGTTATCAGGGACTGTGATGATGAACCACTGGCCACAGAAGAGAGTGTTAAGGAGCTCTTACTCTGCTTGGATGCTTTCAAAATACCAAACATTATGCATCCAGGGGTGCTGGGGCAGCTGGCTGATGCCACTGCAGGGTTGCCCTCTGCCATTATCAAAAAAATTATGATTACTAGGGAAGGTCACTGATTACTGGAAACAAGCAAACATCCTGTCCATCTTCAAGAAGGATCCATTGAACTACAGCCAGTCATCCCCACTTCTGTCCCTGGAAAGATTATGTAGCAAATCCTGGAAGGCATGGCTGAGCAGAGGAAGGACTAGAAGGTCACTGAGTACACCCAGTGTGGATTTACAAAGGACTAATCACACTGACCAACCTGATTGCCTTCTCTGATAAAATGACTGTCAGTGTGGATTAGGGGAGAACAGTAGATGTTGCACACCCTGATTTCAGCCAGGCTTTTGGCATAGTCTTCAGACATATAATTACACTGGAATCCGTGAGACTCTGACTGGATAAATGAACAACAGAATGGGTGGAAGATTGGGGTCAAAGGTGGAATGATGCTATGCAGTCTGACTGCTACCTAATAAGTGTTACACCCCACGAGGCAATACTGGATGATATTTAATGTCCTTATTAATAACATGGATGATGGGGTTCTCAGCAAGTTCCTGGATGTTATCAAATGCAGGGAAGTAATCAGTGCCCTGGAAGGTAGGGCAGGAACAATAATCTCAACATGCTGGAGAAATGAGCTTTCACTGAACTCTCACAGTTAAGCAAAGGCAAACATGAGGGCCTGCCTCTGAGAAGGAATACCCTCATGCCATAGTACAGGCCGGGTGCCAAATTTCTAGAAAACAGCTCTACAGAAAGGGAGTTGGGAGTTCTGCTGGATGCCCTTTGTTTGAATAAAGCCAAAGGCATCTTGGGCTGCCTGAGCATGTCCTGCAGACCAGGAAGAGTGATTGGTGAGTGCTTGTGAGACCACATCTGGAATTCTGCATCCAGTTTGGAGCTCCCTGGAGAGGATAAAGAGCAGCTCCTTGGGGTGAGTCCAGCAGAGACCCAGAGATGGCCAGGGCTTGAAGCCCGTGATGTGAGAGGGGAGGCTGAGGGAGCTGGGCTTTTTCAGACTTAAGGTGAGATGATTTGGAAAGTGGGGAGTGGTGGGTGGTGTGCATGTTCATGGCTGTCCGTAAATACTGGGTGGATGTGGAGAAGCCAGAGTCAGACTACTATCAGAGATGTACAATGAAAGGATGAGAGGCAATGAATACAAGCTAAAATTAGAGGAATGTTGACTCTATCTCAGAATAATTTTCATATAATGAATCTGGGATTGATGAAAAACACAAACGGGAAAGCTAAATGAAGAAAACACTTCCATGATTTCTTTAGAATAAGTGTTAGCTGTGTTGTGTGTCTAGCAGTTCAGGAAGAATAAGAATCATAGAACAACCCACGTTGGAAGGGGCTTCAAAAGAATGTCTGTCACAACAAAAAAAAGGAAACGGTATAAACTGAACAGAAATTGTATACATTTGTAAATTATTTCAGGAATTAGGCTCTTATTTTTAGGTGAGGACATGCAGAAGTTTATTTCACTAGATACCTTTTTGTATGCTTGGTCTTGGGCTTGCTTGTGAAATTGAGCTGTTGATTGTATAAGCCATCCCCCACCTAAAGTAAAAAAGGCAACTACTGTAGGAAGTGATGAAAAGTCCAGAACTATTTGATAATTTATACTTCTGCACACCTCCAAGGCTTTGAATTTAATTCCCAGATGTGTAGTACATGATCAGTACACGATCCGTTGCTTGAAAGATATGACAAAATGCTGCTAGAAATTTTGCAAGTTATAGCCAGCTGTTCTAGTTAACCTCACTTAAACCTTGGACTTGTACTTAAGGAAATTACACTCTCTGAAGGGTGAAAGAATGTTTAGACATTGCTCTGTCTAATTTTTTTAAGGGAATTAAAAAAAAACCACTATAAGCTTTCCTGTGGATATTTTCCATTCTTTTCGTCTACAGATGTATGAAAATCATGTATTTTGTACTGAAGCTATGAGACTGAATTCTGGAGACTGGAAAAGACATGCAAACCATCTCCTGCTAGATGATTTGAGAGAGAAAGAAAAAGTTTGCATTTTTTAAATTAGGTCATTTTTGTACTGTCTGTATATAATTATGCCCGTCTGTCTTCTGTATGTCTCACATAACATGCAAGTATACATTAATAAAAACGTAGAGCAGGTGTTATTTTTGTATAATATCAACAGACTGGCAGATTGCATTTGATGAAGATGTTAACATAGTAAGATTGCACACTATGATCCTTTTCTGAGCTAAATGTTAGGAAATTAAAGCTGGAAAGAGCATTATAATAGGCCTTTTTATTGAAATGCCATCAAACAAAGAATTCAATCTGCTGAAATAACCTGAGCTCGAATTAATAGTATAAAACTCACCCCTTCTGTGTTTTCTTTTTCATTGTTTTGGTTTGTTTTTAATACTTGGATAATTGGATATAGTTTTCAAAGTGAAAGAAATTAGTTTTCTTTTCATAAATTGTATCTGTATATTTTTTCAGTGGATCTGGGTTGGAGACCTTCACAGTTGACTAGTCTTATTTAAAAATTAAAATGAAGGTATTAATAAGAATAAATGTATTAAAATTGGTTCTGCAGAAGAATAGAAGTACTTTAATAAGTAGGTCTAGAGTCAACAAATAGTTGAGAATTTTTAAAGCTGAGAAAATCCCTTAGGATGAGTGGAAAAATAAATGACTCCTATTAACTGACAAAACTATGGAAAGCCATATCATTTTTTTGCAGACATTTGACACGTTTTTGAATGAGAGACAATCAGCATCCATATTATTTCATTTTTGCCTCATAATAAAAGTTCAGTGCAGTAAAATTATTTTAAAGAATACAATTGCATGAGCAATGTTTGTTTGAGATTTGTATTTTATCCTTTTGTGTTCCAGGGTGAACGTGGCTTTCCGGGTAGTAAAGGTGATGAAGGTGAAAAGGTAAATTATTCTATCCATGCAATTTATTGGTTTAACAATAAGATATATGGCCAGACAAGTTAAGCTTTTTCTGAGTATCTACCTTGACCCTTTAATTAATAAAATTCTTAAATTTTTGACATGTAAATGCTTAAGAATGAGAAGTTCTTTATGTATTTACTGGGTGCCATCAGGGCTTCCTTTAGATTTTTTTTTCCTATGAGAAAAAGTTTTATGAGGAACCAACAGACCTTCTGCAGTGGCAGGAAATAGTTCAATATCTTGTATTAAAATGAGAGCTAAACTGGCCTTGTAGAAGGCTCTTCTGGCTAATAGAATGCCAGCATTGGCATTAGATGATGCATCCCAAGACTGGTTAGTCTTCCCAGGTCGTCAACCAAAGGCAAGTAAATGTGTGTTGAGGGACAAGTGGAAGGAAGAGCCAGATCTAGCTTGTCTAATAGAATTAAAGTCACAATGGTGATAGTTTATGGTTGTATCTTCAGATCTTAACCATATTCATGCCTGTTTACTGGTTTCTCACTAGTTTTGGCTGGTTTGAATTGGGAAACCTGAAATAAGAGTATTTTCTTGTAACAGGTAGTTTCTCAGTGCCTCAGCCCACTGTCTAAAAAGGGTGCAGAAAAGCATTTCTGTGGATTTATATATCATAAAGATGAAGAATGGCAGAAACTGCTATTCTGGCAATATTCAGACTGATGAAAATAGAGAGTAGGTGGCAGCTTCTGAATTTAAAAAAGTGTAATATATTTGTGAGTTAGGCTGCTTTGGACATGGATATATTCACTCACCCACCATACCTCTTCAGAAGTGTCAGACAGTTTTCCAGTGTTCATATTTTAGAGAAAGCATGCTATGGATTAACAGAATTGAATCAGATTTAAAATGTGGAGGTTTTTTAAGGAGGAATTATCCCATGTGGACAAGAAGGAAGTTGTATCAGAAGTAAAAACCAGCATCCATAGCAACTAACATTTATAATGAGAGGATTCAGCCTTTAAAAAAAAACACTTGTTAAGCTTGAGTGTTTCTAACTCCAATGACAGATCTTATTTCCTTGGTAGTATCATTATTCATCAGTTCTGAAGGGCCTTTGGATTTTTTCTTTTTTTTTCCTCCCCATAATTGCTTTGCAGCTGTGCTGTGCTCTCCTCGAGTTTTATGAATAAATTGTGTTTGAGCACAGGCACATGGTTCCAGCTGTTACTGCCACTCTCTTTACTTGATTTCCCTTATTTTAAAGTAGAGATAAAATGACCCAGCCACTGGCAGTCACATTTTTCCTATGTGGAAGCTAAACCCGCATGCTTAGACCATTCTTTTCTTTTTCTCTCCTAGATTCAGATGATAATTAAGAGGTCCCATTTTAAAACACTTCCAGTGTTTATTATTATGTTTACTTATTATTATGTCTACTTAAATTATTATTTATAATTAATGCTGCATTCAACTGCCCTTCAAATTTAAGGAAATATAAGAGTGGAAGGATCTTTATTTACCAGTGATCACTCAAAAATTATTTGGGCTAGTCTCATCAGAAGCTACAGATGATGTTTGTATGGGAAGCATGTGTTTTAAGGCTGTGGGAAGTAGGTCTTTAGCAGTTATTCAGTTCAGCTTGAATTCAAATAATGTTTTAACAATGTAGAGTTTCAGCTACTAAATTCCAATATAAAAAATTGTCAACACATTTGCATTTGTTATACTACTTTGTATGTAACAAATACAATTACAAAGACTGAAATGGAAAATTTTCCCATTACCAAAAATTCTGCCTAATATTACATGTTAAGGAACAAAATTTTTGCACACACGATTTTGCATATCTCCTAGGGTGGGACACAGCTACCTCATTGTGGGATATTATTCCAGACTCCCCACAGAAGTACATGGAAATCAACCATCCTCTACTTTCGTTTAAGTGGCCCTATCACTTTGTAGGATTGGGCACTTGAAACCAACTCAGCCTTATACCTTGTTTCATCAAATGAAAATAGTTGTTTTCTGTATTAGGTTCTGCTTTGGCAGAGCAAGCCTTGGGGACATCAGAGAGACCGAGACAACTGAGGTGACAGTGCATGATCGTTTGTACATTACAGTTATGGGAAACCTCTATAATGTAAATTAGTGAGGGAGATTCCTTTATGCTGTTTAAGGGTTTGTCTGCCACACTTGATTCTTCTTGAGTTGCCCAAAAGTCTTGTTCTGCTTTTGGTCGTGGCTGAACTTGGTTCACTCTTACAGAACCCAATATTGGTACAGGAAGTACAGACTGTGCAGGTGTTATGTTGCAAGTTTTCCCTCCAAGGGAAATATACTCTCACTGTGAATTTATTTTAATTCTCCTTTATATTCTGTTTTCTTTGTGTTACGTAGATAATGACACTCTTATACGATAGTCTTATAACTGCAACAAAAACATTGGTTTACCCTTTTATAGCGTGACTGAAAAAGTATATGCTGAGAGCAGTTTTAATTGGTTTGCTGCCAAGTAGGCAGACTGTATCATGGGGATCTGTTCTCCTTCTAATACTGCTTAGAATTTTCATTTTACAGTATGGGATAGAAAATATGACTATCACATTTCATGCATATAGGAAGTCAGAAGGTACTGATAATAACTAGAAGAAAGCTTTAAAATACAGAATGTTCTTGGTAAATCAGAGATGTAGCCTGAAAAGAAAAATGAAATTGCAACTGAAAGACTAACATGTTCTAAAATGAAGTATAGTCTGCGACACTAATTAAAAAGTCCTATTAAAAAGTGCTATTTGGTGTTGGTATGGCTTCAGTTTTACAGATTTTGAAAGGCAAGCACTGAAAATGAGTGGTGCTCAGGAATACAGAACCTTTGAGGAAGGATTGCATAATTGACTCAGTGTAGAATCAGCTGAAAATATGTGAACAGTCTTCAAATACATAACATTTCTGCAAGGAGGAAAGAAATGGTCTGTTTGTGTGTCTGTAGTGCATGCAGATCACTGGGCTGGAAATGCAGCAAGGAAGATGCTGTGTGGCCATTAGGAAAGGGTTTTCAATTTTAACACTGCTGTTTATTACGGAAGTAATTTCCAGTGGTCTGCAGTTTTTATCCTGGAAACAAAAAAGGGAACAAACTAAACACTTGCTTCATGAAAACACAGGAGATGAGATTATCTTAAATGACTTTGCCATTTTCTGTTAATAGCATCCAAATTATGCAAGTATCTCTTACACTTATTTCTAATCTGATAAACACAGAGACCGGCAAGACAGCTTCTTTTTAAACATACATACTTGCTTGTTTTTAACTTGTCCAGTCAATAGTTTTCTGTGATACGACTGTAAAGCTCTGGAACAAGTTGCCTGAAGTGGTTTTCCAGCAGCAAATTTTCCTTGAGGTTTACAAGGCAAGCCCTGAGCAATCTGGCCTGATTAACAGGTTTGGGTCTGGATTTCAACCTCTGTAGGTTTCAAAATCTCAGACCTATCTTGAAACTTGCAGAGATTGAGATCTCATTTATTATTACTTATTTTGATACTAGAAGTATGTGCATCACTTGGGGGTTGGAGCAGCCCCAGTGCCTGTTAGCTAGGTTGGAAAAGTCCTTTGAGACCATCGAGTCCAACCTACGACCTAACACTACCTTATTAATTAGACCATGGCAGTAAGTACCACATCTAGTCTTTTTTAAACACTTCCCAGGGAAAGTGACTCCATCACCTCACTAGACAGCCCATTCCAATACCCACTCACTCCTTCTGTGAAGAACTTGTCTAATGTCCACCCTAAATACCCAAATTAGACAAATAACCTCTAAGATACATTTTTCCTTTGTTAAATATGTAATTAATTCTCTTTTCTCCTGGTTATTGCTACCTTTGGTCACTCTAGTTAGTACTCTTTAACCAGGTCCCCCACTTTTTCTGTTGTCTTGTCTACCTTTCTAGTTAGAATATGTATTTTCTTTAGTACACGTTACAGATATGATTCTTTCTGTAAATGAGATAGTACACTGAGAATTCAATTTTCGGGGACACATGAAATATGGACGCCATATAGATTTCATTAACATTTAGCGGTATGTATGGAACAAATCTAAATTTTATTTGAAACAGTGGTAATAGAAAAGCCAACACATTTACATGTTAATTATAGCTGAGCAAACATGCATTGCTTGTCACTAATAGATTATAGTAATTTCATAGGTCTAGGAATCCTAAATTTCTTGTCTTGCTTAACTATTTCAAAATGCTGGTATAAAGTCAAGGAGAGGCAAGGTGTGCTGTTACAAAATGAAATTACAGGACTAGTTGATATCTCAGAAGACTTAGAAGTTGGGAAGTAAGAGGATTACTGTGTGGAGCAGGACTCTTCAATTGCAGTTTCACTGGACTGGCTGCTTACCTTCATAAAGCATATCCTTGTTTTTCTCACACTTGAAGTAGAGGATTTTAAAACTGGATGCCATTGGACTTGAGATATGAAGCGGTTTATGTGCTGTGATATGCAGTTTTAAACACTTGATCTCTGGTAAAGTTATTATTTTACTATAATTCTATGATTAATATTTCTTAGTAAAATGATATTAATTTAAAAGTTACATGTATTTGAATAAGGGAAACTTTGAGAATAAAACCATAATGATGGTAATTTATTATTTCCAGAGTTTAATCCTTTTTACATTACGTATTGCATGTCTTAATTGTGCTTTTGCCTGTGTATACATATGAGAAGAGAGGAGGAGTCTGGGGCTTGTCCAGCCTAACTGTAGAAAAAAATTTCATCTGCCTAATTTTCTTCTAAACGCAGGATGTTCTTTGTATATATTTACTATTTTCTGAAGTACAATTTGAATTATACCAGGAAATAGGGCTTCCTCTATTTCCTTTAGAAGACAATTCCTAATAGATCTTAGTGTCAAGAAGATTTCCTGGAGGTTCAGCGGTTTCTACTTCATCCTATCGCACCTAATAAAATACTCCTCTGTCTATCTTCTAGCCATCCAGAGCACTCAAGG